ACCAAACACATACAAATGGAGTTTGGCTTAGACAAATGCAAAACACTTCATATAGAAAAAGGAATCCCGAAGAAAGAAGATTTTGCACTTGGAAATGGAGAAGTTATTGAATCCATGGAAGAGGGCGAGTTCTACAAGTATTTAGGATTCCAACAGGCCAAACTACCAGAACATACACAAATAAAGCAAAGATTAATTAAAGAATACCAAAATAGGTTAAATGCCATTCTCAAAACACAGTTAAATGCAAAACACACAGTTAAAGCAATAAACACATATGTCATCCCAGTACTCACATATTCTTTTGGAGTTTTACATTGAACTCACACAGATCTCGAGCAACTCCAAAGGAAAACAAGAACAACACTTACTAAGCATAAACATCATCATCCTAAATCCGCCACAAAAAGATTAACCCTTCCACATAAAGATGGCGGACGTGGCCTGATTGACCTAGTTAATCTTCACTACAAACAAATACAGTCACTGCAAGAGTTTTTCTAAAGAAAGAAGAAACATCACAGTTACATAAAGCAGTAACTCTAGCAGACTCAAATAGCACACCATTAAACTTACACTCACAACACACAGACATGACACAACACATAAAAAGCATAGACACCATCAAGCAATCGTGGGCTCAAAAGGCACTCCATGGCAGGCATCCTTATGACCTGGCCCAGGATTTTGTTGACAAAACTGCATCGAACAGCTGGTTAGATCGGGGATGCCTCTTTGGGGAGACAGAAGGATTCATGATTGCCATACAGGATCAGGTCATAAATACTAAAAACTACAGAAAACACATACTCAAAGATACAACACTCACAAATGACACATGCAGAAAATGTCACATCATGCCAGAAACTATACAACACATCACTTCTGGTTGCAAGCTCTTGGCACAGACAGATTACTTACACAGACACAATCAAGTAGCAAATATAATACACCAAGAGCTTGCAAAGAAACACAAACTTGGTAGACATCCACGAACCATACTACAAGTATATTCCACAGACAGTATTGGAAAACAACACGCACAAAATATACTACAACAGAGCCATAATCACAGATAAAACAATTTACCACAACAGACCAGACATCACACTCATTGACAAACACAATAAAACCAAATACATTATAGACATAGCCATTCCAAACACTCACAATGTACAAAACACATGCACTGAAAAAATTAGCAAGTACACAGAACGCACCCAGAAAACAAGGCATCTGTGGAGGATGGGAAGGGTGCTTATTGTACCTGTTGTTCTCTCCTGTACATGTGTGATACCACACACACTACACAAAAGCCTGGGAACATTACAATTGAATAGAAATANTGCACTGAAAAAATTAGCAAGTACACAGAACGCACCCAGAAAACAAGGCATCTGTGGAGGATGGGAAGGGTGCTTATTGTACCTGTTGTTCTCTCCTGTACATGTGTGATACCACACACACTACACAAAAGCCTGGGAACATTACAATTGAATAGAAATACAGTAGAGCATCGATTATCCGACTCAATTGGGGACTCAGGTTGGTCGGATAACTGAAAAAATCGAATAATCGGAAAGAATAAAAAAAATACATTATTAGCATAGTATATTAGTATATCCCATGTAGTTAGTATATTAGTATATCGCTATTAACCAACTTCGCATTGAATTTTCATTGATGTTAAGCCTAACAATTTTTTTTAAAATAATAATCGTCGCTATTCTATCGTTAAAAATTATTTTTAAATTATTTTATTGCTCATGAAACAAACCACCACTCATAATTAGAAAATTAAGTCTCGTTTAAATTAAATACTGGCCTCCCTTCAATGGTCGAGTCATTGTTGCCAGCTAAAAAAATGCAAAAATTTAACAAAAATAATATTAAAGTAGCCAAGACATAGCCAAATATTGTAGTGCCACATCACTGCGGACATTTGAAATTTTCCGATTAGAACGGTCGGTTAACTGATGTGACGGTTAATCGGGAGTCGGATAGATAATCGATGCTCTACTGTACAGTACATACATCACACTACAGAAGGCCACTATATTGAATACATGCGATATTGTTAGTAAATTCCTGAATACAGACACTGACACACTTATTTAATTTTAGTTTTATTTTGGTCCGGCATAGTACACAGCCACCGGTGTGAACCGAGTATAACCCACTAAACCCAATAATAATAATATACACTCATTGCCATATAAATAAGCACACCGAGAAGGAGTTGTCATATCACTGCAAAACTTGGCATGCAGAGAAGTCTCATGTAAATATGGAAATGATTAATTATAGCATGATGGCTCATTGTATAATGCCAGCAGAGAGCATTAAAATGCACCCCCCTGGACCTATAAAAAAAGCACACAAAGGCATCCTGTCTGTAATTTACCTGTTGCAGAGGGTATCACTATAGATGCCTTTTCATTGCAATCAAAGACCATATGAACAACTAACTGAGTTTGAGAGAGGAGGGGTCATTGGGTTCAGAGATGCCAAATAGCCCACCACCTAAGCCATTCTGACAACACATGTGAGGTGGTATTGGGACCAGTGGATGAGAGAGGACTTGCACACAAGGCAATCAGACTCAGGATGCCCTGAGAGCTCACAAAAACCATTTTCCAACAGGATAATGCTTGACCAAAAGAGCATGAGTGTTACAGGACTGCCTCCACCAACTTGTCACCCTTCCCTGATCTGCCTGGTTCTCTGATTTTGTCACCGATCGAACATGTCTGAGATCACCCGGGACACCAAGTTGGGCAGCCTAGGAGTTTGGCCAAACTAGAGGACCACTTGCAGCAACTGTAAACTGAGATATCATAAGACACATATAGCATCTGTATGCCCTAGGCTCACCTATATCACATTGTGTATTTAGACTACAGTGGCCCAACAGGGTATTGAACCGCCTTTCATTTGCAGTTTTTCCTGCAATAAATGATCCTTTTGCTTTCATTATATAATTACTTACTTATATGACTGTTACACTCACACATATACAACTTTGATTCCAACAACTTCTTGGTGGACTAAGTTTTAAGGCAATGAGTATATATTTAAAAATTAATAACAATTTCAATAAAAGCATATATAATAGAATAATTTTAATATTTTGTAAAAATTTATATGTATATTATACAAATTTATCTCAAAAAAAGTATTTTGAAATTGGTCATCTATAAAAATGACAATTCAAAGAAAAGGAATGTGTATTTGACTGAACTGATATAATTTATTTTGAATATTCTACTATCTAGTTTGCAATCATTATCAATAAAAAATTAATAATTTCTCTAAAAATTCTCAGAATCATCAGAACAATATCAAAATTTGACAAACAATAAATTCAGTTGTATTTCTAAAAATACATTCCTCTATAGTTATTAAGTATTAAAACCCAAAATGATTAATGTACGGTATTAAAGCACAAATCATTTGCTACAAATTATATCAGGAGAAGATTTGTTTTTCATGCAGCTTTATTATATAAAATTTCTTTTCTAAAAAACTTGTAAAAATATATATCTAATGAAATAAAAGCTTAAAATTGCACAATTTAAAAGCACACTTATCATATATTTAATTTCACATTATATGTTATACTGAAAATTGTCATTCATGTTTGATTAATACATCTTGTTAATAATTTTATAAAAGAATTTTTTTTTTTTTTTTTAATTTTCTCATTATTTCTCATTTTTAAAATTTATCATTATTAAGCAATTTTATTTAGCAATGAATCATGGATATATATGCAAGAGAGAGGGGGGGATCGGTAATAGAAATTTGTCAACTGAGATTGTTTGCAGATTATTCAAAACATAAAAAAAAATATATATATATATAAGCATTGATTTGATCTCTGACTAGACCGAGGCCTACCAGGTTAACACACACAATTAGTCGGCTTACAAAATATCTCTTTATTCAATAAGGGTTCCGTGATCAACCACTGAGGGCTCATGTGAACGCTCAGAAAAAAAATTCTCATTACATGGTCACGTGTCCCAAATACAATATCCCTCGTCCCTTCACTCTCCTTCTCCCTTATTCATGTAGCATAACAAGGTTCGTACGTGTTTACAATAACACAAAGAATTTTCATAACAGTCTACTCACTGGAAATCTGGCACTTAAACAATCAGGAATCGGACCAACAGCTATCGCACATGGGGAACATCTTCGCTTCTGTCGATACCTTGGTTACTCTATCTTCCTAAATTGTTCTGTCCCCACTATTCTTTCCGTGTATACCATGCTTGAGATTTGGTTCTATCTCCCTTTTCTCGATGTTCAAACGAATCTTCCTTCTCACTCCGGTCAGTTCCGACCTTCCTCGATGGCACTGATCAAAAACTCTCACGAATGGAACTCCTCCAAAGGAAAGAAAAAAAAGGTGTCTTCTCACATGTGGACCTGCTATTTATATCCTGGCTTGCTACCCTCACGTGACCTCTTGGGTAGCCAATCCAGAGGTCTGGTTTCACACAAAGGAGGGAGGTACAAAGTAAGGAGAACACATATCCAAACACTAAGAAAACCCAATACAGTGTGACATAATAAACTTACACTAAGTACAAAGAATATTAACTATACAAATAATATTCACATACATTGCTAACAACAACCAATAAGTGGCAGAGCACTACAGCATAAATGCAAAATAATGTTGTGGAAAAAATAATAGGAAAACAAGATACAGAAGATAACATGCAAAGACATGATCAAGATAGTTTTATGTCATGAATTCAATAATTAAAGTTCAAGAAGAACTTTACAGATGATGAAAGATGTCAAAGTTAGGTAACACATTGTCTAATCCATAAACTTAGAAAGACGATGCAATTTTAATTAAAACTGCTACACAATATTAAAAATAAATTACCTTTTTAGTTGAAATAATATTTTATATATGTCAGTGTTATAAATATTTTTATAATACTATAATAAATATAACAAAATACATATTACAATATAATTACCTAGCCATTTTATCAAATAACCAAGTTGGTTCTTTATTAATGGGAACTTGTAAACTATGTACTTTAGCTAATTTCCTTGCAATTGTTGCAGAAATATCTGAATCTTTTAATTCTTGACAAGTTAAAGCACGAGCCTGCAAAAATAAAGATCATTAATTAGAAATAAATATCCAATTCATAAATCTTGAATATTAGGAATATATAATAATGCCAGGAATGAACAGTAACTTAAATATGTACATTGACTGTATACTGTATAAAGAAGGAAAGGATTAAGTATTAGTAGAGAAGTGAAATTGCTTGTTATAAGCAAACCCAATTTGAAGAACTGAAATATAAATCAGTAGACAAAGTTAATGTTGTACTGGTTAAGCTTGAGATTATTTAAGTGTGTATCTACCTCTACATTTTTGAAGCCCGCACAAGTATCCAATAACATTAAGTAAAAAAATGATATAAAACTAACAACACTAGTTGAAAAATTACCAGACACCACCTGTGAGTTATCTAATAAAATACAAATTTGCCTTTAGTGCTAGAAATGAACATGTTCATAGCAAACAGATGCAATTAATAATAGTTGATATATGAAGACTGAAAAATAATATGTAGTGCCAAAAAACAGGATATTTATACACAGAAAAACATAATTCAAAGTATGTCATTAAAATAATGCATTTATTGGTGATATTTTGTTGAAACATTTTTCCATACAAAGTTGGTTTCTCTTAGCATGTTGGACAACAGTAGCATTTTTTATCTTTTGTGCATACTTAACATGGCTTGATGAGACTTATCATGGGCTTGAGTTTTTCTTAGAAATGGATAAAGTTCCTAAATAATGAAATTATCTTCAGTCTTAATTCCCTTTGCAATGTTTGAAATTTTTATCTCCATTCAAATACAGTAGACCCCCTATAACGCGGGTTCCTATAATGTAGATTCCTATAACGCGGCAAAAAATTGCAACAGTATTCATATAAAGATGCTAAAAGGGACACGTAAAACGCGGTAAAACATCGCCAACTTGTCATTGCAGACGAGCAGCCGAACTACTTTCCGCCATCCAGCGCCATGCTACGGAGAGTTTAGGCGGGTAAATTGAGTTTACTATTGTCTGTACAGTATTATATATAAATTAGGTACTGTACATATAATTATATATTAACTTAATTTATTGTAACTTTATTATAATTATATATATACTTTCCGCCATCCAGCGCCACGCTACGGAGAGTTTAGGCGAGTAAGTTGAGTTTACTATCNTGTTAATATATTAAAAATTTGTATAGTACTGTATATTTAGTTAAATGACTAAATGATTACTTTTACTATACAATACACAGTATATGTTATGGGCCAAGTAATTAATACATCATTATTGTAAGCTTGCCAACTTTTAGGGTCAATCAGTTAATTGCGTGTCACTGATGGTCTAGGGTCCATTCATATGTAAGTGGAGGCAGAGGAGACAAAGATGACAAGTGTCTAACAAAAATCATTTATTTTTTACATTAAAGTAACTTATACTATGAACAAAATAGTTTGCGTTAAAACAACCAGTGGTTCAGATGTCCTGGGCATCAATCAAAGATGGCCCTGAGGCAGTGGCGTTGACAAGTCTGTAAGGCAGGTGGGGAGGCTCTGTTGGTTGGCATCGGAGATGTGGTCTAAGTCTGAAGTGGCATGGGTTACAGGTTGGGCACAATAGACGGAAAACTGCTTTTTTTCGCATTGACACACAGCATCTTGGTTAATTGGAACAGTAACTAACCAAGTGAAATGACTTACTGAGTGCCAGGTGTCCATGATTGTCAGGGATTATATCAATCTCTGTTCTTTCTTTCATCCCTTCTGATTGGTCATTCTCCCTCAATCACGCTTCCTGAGTGTCTGGTCTCTCGTTATGAAGCTTAAGGGGACTCCTTACCTAGAGTGCAAGAAAGGTCAAAATTGAAGCTGAATTTGATTTCTCACTGATCATAGGATGACATTCCTTCTCTGATTTATGGTTTCTTTATCGCAGTTTGATACAGACAAAAGGTGTCAGACTACAACCTTTTTTTCCCCCTTGCCTTTTTAAACAATTGCATTTTTTTTTCTCTAAATCAACTGTTTTTTGAATTTCATGACAGTTCAGACCTGTCCAGGACTTCACATTATTTATAATGTCCAGCAATTATGAAAAATGACTAAAATGGCCATGCAGTCTGATAAATATTGATTAATTTATTAAATTGACCAAATATTACGAATAAAGCTGCATTTCCTTTGAGCAATTTGATTTTCAAAAAATCTCCACTTTTTTCATTAAGAACTATTTATTTTTGTAAATTATTTTAAAGTATTTTAAAAATAACAGGTGATTTTTAAAAAGTAATTATTATTAACTGTATTAAGTAAACTAATGTTAACAAAAAGTATAGTAGTATAAATTTATATTGCTCATCAGCTTGTGACTGTATATCTATAAAGTCAACCTGACATCTTGAGTTCATTTCATTACTTAAAATTGGTTTAACTACCAAGCCTTTTTTAGGAACATTCTGTTTTTTTATGACAGATTTCACATAACTTTAAGTAAATTTTCTCCCTTGAAATATTTTTATATTTTGTATTTAATTCTTTTTCCATATGGTTTCTAATGCAATAGCCAATAGCAATATCGGCATCACTCAATATTTGAAATATTTCTTCAATATGAACATAATATTTAATTAAATTACCTTCTTCTACAGGCACAATTAATTTTTCTCTCTGTTAGATACAACTTCATATCTATAGTATGTAAATATTGATATTCTTCTGATAACTCCAAAGTCACTTCGGTTTTTGACTTTCACTTTTTGGATCATTGTCAAATAGACATATGCTGATTTTATAAAAGTTTGACTGTTCTGATCTATTAGTTCTAGAAACTTGCTTAATTGGTTGTTGAAGTGGTTATTCATATTACTTAATAATTGCTACATAATAGTGTCCTTTTTTAAACAAAAATAACAAATTTAAAAAAAAAACAAGTAAAATTAAAATGTTGCACAAGATTAACTACTGGCTGCATAAATTTAAAAATTCATTACCAAATGCAATATGCATGCACAACTCAAACACAAGTGCTAATTGGCTAGTCTATCAAATGATCACTCCAAGTTATCATTATCACTTTGCTTGACCAGACGATAGCAGCATTAATAGTGACCGGTCAATGTGATAAATTATGATAAAAAATTGAAATTTATTACAGCATCCGATTTTGTTTGTCATTATTCAAAATGCCTGTATGAGTCACTTAGTATGTAACATATATAATCACAAATTAATCTCTTATTAAATTAAGAAATAAAGTTTTTTACATTGCTTCCCTTATGCAGGTACTAAGAGGTCCTTTTTAGCAAGCCCATTATGGGTTTGGCCAAGCCCACAATGGAATGGCCAGGTTGCAAGAAATGGGGCCCAACATATCATAAACTATCTTCCAAAAAATTCCTAGGGTTTTTCAACCCATCCAGATTTTACCTTGTGTCCCCCACAGCAATAGGCTCTGGGGGACACCACCGTAACTTTTTGACCATTCAGCTGGCCAAAATAAACAGTTTAATGTTTTCATATCAGTTCCATCAGTTCCATCTCAGACTGAAAAATTAATTAAATTTAAATAACAGCATATTTCTATAACATAATTTATAAAAATTTATTCTAATTTAAACTGTCAAATAAATTGTTTATGTTCATTGTATCACATAAATCTTAAAAATTAAGAATAAAATAACTAAAATTTAAAAATTATATACAGTCGATCCCCCTATAACGTACGTTCCTATAACGACAATTCCTATAACGTAGCGAAAAAATTGTAGAAACTTTCGTATAAAATACCTCCTATAACGTCATTTCGCGACAAGATTGATAGAGTCTGGACCAATAGTGGATGAGCAGCCAAACTACTTTCCTCCGACCCTGCGCCACGCTACGGAGCGGCTAAATTGAGTTTGCTATTGTCTGTTTAGTATTATATATAAATTATATATAAATTAGGTACTGTACATATAATTATATATTAATTATATATAAATTAGGTACTGTATATATAATTATATATTAACTTAATTTATTGTAACTTTATTATAATTATATATATGCTTTCTGCCGCCTGGCAACACGCTACGGAGATTTTAGGCTAGTAAGTTGAGTTTATTATCGTCTGCACAGTATGTAAATTAGGTACCGTAAGTCTAATACAGCACTAATTTTATACATTTCTTGTGAAAGAAACACTTCTTATTCAACGGCCATAAAAATTATTTATATTAATGATGTCTCCAAAGGTCAAGTTATTTTTCTGCGAAAAATTCGTTATTAGAAATCGCGGCCGCCGTTTCATGTGCTGTTCCGCGACGAAAACCAGCTTTAAGCAACGGCGTAGTCGAACGGTACACACTCGGTAAGTAATCCTATAATTTTTTGTTTATAGCATAGTTTATACGGATTACTCCCAAAAAATTATACGTGTTTTGGAAATGTTGAGTCGAATTAGTCTAGAATCGGTTAATTTTATAGAAGAAAACCTTTCGAACAGCCTTAGTCCGTAAAGTTCCCACCTATCGGGCTGCGATTGGCTCATGTATTTAATCGTTCCTACAACGTAATTTTCGGTTAGCTTGGAACGTATCTAAGCGTTATAGGGGGGTCTACTGTATATATAAAAACCACAAACACACAAAACAGAAATGTTTGAGTAGAAGCAGGCTTCTTGTGGTGTCCTTGAAAGGAAAAATCAAGTACAAGGTGTAACAATTTAATTTCCAAAATGCACCTTTAAAAAATATACATGCAGAACTATATTCGAGAGGCTACTGTCACCTTCAAAATACTCTCCTCATGCATTTATACACTGACTTAAATGGCATTCTCATTTCTGGAAGCAGGCCCAGAATTCATTTTCCAATATACTGTTGAGCAGCTGTCTCAAATTCTGTTGAATATCAGTTATATTAGAAAATCTTGTCCTTTCAGAGCAGCTTTTACTTTTGTAAATAGCCAGAAATCACAAGGAGCTAAGTCAGGTGAATAGGCAAAATAATCTAATTGGATAATCACATTTTGGCTAGAAAATGTTTCACAGTGCACCAACTTG